CTGTGAAAATGCACTACCTATATGAAAGATTTTTCGATATTTTCAATACAGTTTAGCTGAAACTCCATAAAATGAAACGACCGATAGAGGTTCATTCTATACATTCATTTTTGAAGGTATTGTAGTTACATTTTATCTGCGGAAATACTCTATGAGAACATTATCTTCGCTTCACTTCATCTTGAATAAAGAACCGCGGAGGTACTTATATTTTATAAATTATAGTTTCTACTATTGGATCTGCGCTATTGGTTTGAATAAATAAATCCTTTTACAATTTTAAATATATAGGCAGATACAAATTGTGCAAACGTGCAGACGTAGGTACCTACTATCTTTAATAAAGGTCCTTTATATTTCAAAAATTGGATGATCAGGGATCGAATCAAAATGGAGGGTATTAGATTTTCACTCATCAAACGAAGTGATTTAAGATTTAATAGTTATTTATGTATCAAGGGTACTAAGTAGATGATTATGCCCTGAGGGCGACAGCTTTACAAAGCCAAGGGCCTCTGGCTCGAGAGTTCGTAAGTCGCCCGAGGGTATATATCTATTAGTACCCGTGGTGCATACAAACTTTTATGTCATATCAGGGGGACTTTATTTGAAGTCGATGCAACTTTGCGTACACGCAAACGACGTCATTTGCGGCGTAATTGTCGACCTGACGTTTAGAATGGTATATTATGCTTGCGCGGGCCAGAATGTGTACTTTATGCCCGCACGGGCATAAAGTGATGAATTATGTAGATGGTATCTAAAGCGGCGTTTCCACACGCATAGTTTTTTGGCGCTAGTGCACGTGCCAGTTTGTTGGCGTAATAATAGTGGCGCCAGTATCTGTTTCCACTTGATATCAAAAACTTTTAACTGGCGCAGTAGAAAAATTGAAAATGGCGTCAACTTAAATGGTTCAAGCAGGTATTAATGTTGCTGTGGCTATTTTGTTTCTAGAATTATTTCGGAAGACCCGAAAAAACAAGAAGAAGAGACATAAACACAAGATGGATTTCACGCAGAAAAGCTCTAGGAGCATCAAATAATTTACTGTCTGAGTTAGCGGATGAAGACCATGAAGAATTTCCAAAGCTTCTTATTTTGCTTTTAGCAGCAGTGATATCAAAGCCACTTAAGAACGCGAGAACCCGCACAATACGTCAACACTTATCCTTATAGCATCATGCGGTTTTTCCTGTCTTTGTAGCACAAAAGTTTGTGATTCCACAAACAGGGATGCTCTTTTATAAACTTAATATGTTCAATTTTTTGGGAACCACTACTGAAAACGTTTGTATTTTTTTTTTGACAAACTGTCACACATGGCAAACTGGCGCCAAAAAGTAGACCTCCATTCTACTTTACTAGCGCATGAAAAAGTGGCGACAGTTAACTGGTGCCAGTTAATTTTCTGCGTTTCCACGTGCCAGAAAAGTTACGCCAGTCGACTAGCGCCAATAAACTATGCATGTGGAAACGCCGCTTGAGGTAAGTCGCCCCGAGGGTATATAATCTATTAGTACCCGTGGTACCCGTGGTGCATACAAACTTTTATGTCATACCAGTTGGTTGTGAATAATAAATTCCTGGGAAAAAAGTGTCACTTCGCAAATTGTCATCAGTGTGCAAACATCATCATTTTTTGACAAAAATAATATGTTTATAAGCGTAAATTTATATTTTGTTAATAAAGAATAAGTTAATTGAAAACTGTTTTTTGCGTCTTTATGCCCGCGCGGGCCATAATGTGTACTTTATGCCCGCACGGGCATAAACTAATGAATTATGTAGATGGTATCTAAGGTATAAAAACACAATAATGTATTGGTATGACATAAAAATATTTTGGGCTGATACAAGATAATTATTCATCAATCTGCGTCAAAGGTCGAATGGATGTCTTAAAATATTTAAGTGAATGGGGTTTTCCATGAAATGACGTAATGTAGTGCATACCATTGACCTTTGGTCTTTGGTGCAATAAATCAGCTATGTATCTCTCAGAAACGCAATAAAAATATACCTACTATGCACCGTCCATCCTACTTTAGATGATTTATTTTTATGAAAAATTGTAAGTTATTGGCTCTAGAATAGGTATTGACCGCTAGGTCTGGCTTATAATGAATTAGATTTCCTGAAATTAGTAATAATTAATTAGATTATAGCTTGAAGACATCGGCAGGTAGATTTTGACCATGACTAAGGAATTAAGTAGGAGTCGAAACCGCCAAAGATTGCTTTAAAAAACTTTTATTATGCAATCCTAAGTTAGTTCACAGACTTGATGATAATACTAGATCTAAAATGAACAAAAATACGAACAACGATCTGGCTTTGACACATAATTAATGTTGCCGTTGGTGGCTCCTAATTTATAATAGATATAATATATTGTTCTAGGTTTCGGACATTTCTCCTCCCCGTTTTAGGCGTCCTCGTGGATCATTTCTAGGAGTGTCTCAACTGGAATGCATGAACTGTGTCTAAGCTTATGTTGAAAACTAAAATAATATATATTATGGTAGTAATAATCAATAATTATTATATGTAATTGGATCAATTCATGTATTTAAGTTCGATTTTCCCAAATGTGTCATTTGTAAATTTGGAGATAAATCTGTTATAACACAATGTTCGAAACTTCTTCTGGATGATTAGTGACGAATATTATAGTTGATTAATAATAACTTCAGTACTGGCTCTGTTAGTGTAGGCAAGTTAGATGTTGAACCTGAAAAAATTCTATACAAGCATTTCTTAACAAAAATGTACGAGGAGTAACGTTCTAAACAACATACTAAAAGTCCCATGGATTATGTCTCTGGCAAGTTGAAAAAAACGGCCGCCATTTTGTTTTTTACATTTTATTGCAAATATCTCAAAAACTATCAGGTTTATGAGGAAAAGTGTAGGGATATTTTTTACTTAAAATGCAAATTTACATTTGTTGGGTTAGTAACATGTATTTAAATAATTACTGACGTTTTCCAGTTTCACAAAAGAATCATCATTTTTTCATATACGATGCACGAATTCCAGCAAATCATTCCTGAGCATTGACTTATTTTGCAGAACATTTTAATCCAAGTTTTCTGCAGGAGCATGCCTTGTTGCATGTCCCTTCCTTGCTTCCTTGCAATTACAGAATACCATTTTTAGTATATCAGAGGGGGCAATTTCTTTTGTTACGGCTGTAGGCGCAAGATGTTCATCTCTATCTAGTTCCCATCCATAGAATAACGGATCTAACATATATCCTATCCACTCTTGTATCTTAAAATTACATACTATATCTAATCCAGGTTTTCATATCTAATCCTAGAAATTAGCTTACGGTGCATACCTGAGTAAATGCACTGTTCTACTTTTTTAAAGATTCCAATAAGTTACAATTACAAGCCCCTAGGCCACTGGCGCCGAGTACATGGGGACATTGGGGCAGGTGCTCCCATAAGCAACCTCTCATGGGTGCTCGGAGCTCTCGTGGGTATCATGTAATTCAAATTTACACAACTTCGTATAAGAATTATACAAGTGGTATTAGTCTTAGATTAGGAAGGTATTAGTATTCTGTCCTTTTGTTATTTGTGGTCAGTTCTATGCTCTATTACTTTATATTGCTAATGTTACTATTCTCCATCTCCATCTCTATTCTTTGATAATAATCGGGACATGAGGCATTTTAGGACATAAAACTACCAGGGTAACCTTAAATTGCATAATTATTCTACTTTTCCGCATACTAGTGCGAAGAAGTGAGATTTTTCTGGCCTGAAATGCGTGCAGAAAGAAGCACTTTTCGCACGCTCGTAGAGAAAAATATAAAAATATACAGGTCTGGCAAGCCAGCATCTTACAGGCCAATTTTAATGCAATAGAATGAAATGTATAGGAAGAGTCCAGGGTTAAATAGAGAACGAAAACGATTTCCCTTGTTCCACCTCCAGCATGCAGCGCTTGGAACGCTGGAGGTGGAACAAAGGAAATCGTTTCCGTTCTCTATTCAACCTTTAGACTTTTTCTAGATGTTTCATTCTATTGCATTTAAATTGGCATGTAAGATGTTCACTTGCCAGACCGGTATACACTATGAAGAAATTTCATTCACCTCTCTGTTATGCACATAGGTTTTTCCGGCAAATGTTTTACTTTGCGTCATAGCTCATGTCAAATCATCAATGTCGATGGGCCAGAAAAAGTTGCAGTTGGGATTCAAGGCAAAATATTCGCCGGAAGAACTCTATCTATAGGGTTTTCTTATAACAACTGGTAAACTAGATTATTAGTTTCTTCTTTTTGTGATGTTATATGTTTCACTTCTTACTTCATTAGGAGAGGTTAGTGTATTACTTTCTAAATAGAAGATGTTTGCGTTTTCCAGAGTAGTCATGTTATTATCTTATTTAGATGTTCAGCTCCTCATCCGTTTTCTATTTCTTATATTTTATCTGTGATAACTGGATACAAGTTTTCTGGGAGATTCAAACGTGGAATAATTTCTGTCTTCTTTATTCTAGTAGTAATAGGTTAGAGAAAATTCACTTAGGGTCCCTCGGCAGTACCATTTACTCTCCAAACACAGTAGCCAACGTCCATCCAGGAACTTTCTGATGCATGCTGAGCTGGTAATATAAACCCAAATTCCCTTTTTTCACCACTTTTGGAACTATGAGTTTGAAATCCCTGCTGGGTTCCCAGAATTGTGAAGGTTCAGATTGAGCAATTCTTATTGCTAGTAAATTAATATTCACAAAAAAAAGTAGGTATACTTGTGATATATCAATAAACTCCGATAAATGACATACATTTCGTTGGCACAATGAACTTTTCACTTATTTATTATGATTATTACTGATTAATGGACTAACACGTTTATTGTTATTACGAACCTATTTCCCTCATTTGCAATAAACTTTTATACTTTATACAGTATTTTGGGTGAAAAGGATAACATTTAGAGTAACGGTTCGAAGGCGGAATATGGAAAATATAAAATTATGTTGATTATAGATATAAGTATGTGGCAAAGCAGGAAAGGCCCAAAAGAATATCTCGAAGACAGAGGAAAAGAAGAACTGCAGGAGGAAGGAGAGCTAAGAGCTATGCCATGGTACCCAAAAGTATGACAAGCAGTGTATGTAGTTCACAAATGAAAATTCATTGTGACAGCATCAAATATGTTTTCCGGTCACTCACCGCGCAATTTCATTTATTACGTAGTGGAGTGCAATAAAAACGCCTGAAAGAGAAATTTTATTGATATGCATAAAAATTCAATGCTTTCAGTCTGTTGAAAAACAGATAATTTTATTGTGTAGGAACACCTAATATTTGACATGGGTACACATTTTCTTCGCAGCCCAAAATCACTTTGCTATTTGCAAAACAGTGACTTAATTATTCATTTACTAGGCTGTTGTATTAATAGGTAGGTAGGTAATAATTTTCACTATCAAAATACCTTGACATACGAATATTAACTGAGACAGATTTATTTAGCAGCCGATACTTGATGGAAATTGTTGTAGTCACCGCCACCAAATGTTGTGCCTTACCGCTGTTACCAGTGTAATTCGGTATTGGATAACCGCTAATATTTTATCTATTGATAAAATTTATAAAGAGACACAACTTTTAAATTTGAAATTTACTATTTGTGCAATTGAAAAAAACACGACAATACCCCAGTGAAAAAGCTTTAGAGAGCACTAAAAAAATAAAAAATACTTAACTTAGAACTAATAAATGAGTTAAAACCTACTCTGTTCCAACCGACATGAGAACCGTTCTAGAACGGTAATTTCCAGTCGATCAATTAATAAATTCATTTGCCAAGTTTTTTATAGGATAAACGTTCAACTTATTGAAAAATAGGTGGGCAACTGGAAATTACTGGTTCTGGAACGATTCTCATGTCGGTTGGAACAAAGCTTATGACCTAGAGTACATAACACGTAAGTTCTTAGGGATATAGAAAAATAAGAGGATATATTATAATCATAGGAGCACTGAATACAAATATTTGCACTGAGAGAAAAATTTACTAAAACTAAGTCAAATTTTAATTGTGGCAAATAAAAAGTTGACTTAACTATGTGACAGCTACTCTGTTCAATTGCACCAATTAAATCAAAATTTCTGAAACAGTTTCCTTGCTTTAGGTGAACAAGTTTCATTAAAAATGGTTTACTTTAGATTAATACACTTATCTATGAATATTAAGTGTTCAGGTTTAACAATATAAATATAATAATAAATTATTTGAAATATGGGAATGAAAATCTCGTATGAGGAAACCCTAGACGAAGCAACTAAAGATCGGAACATACAAGGACCGAAGCTAAGCAATATCCCTCCACTGAATGATACACAATAGTAGATGATATCACGGACAAACAAATGAGTTGGTTCAGGCATGTACAAAGAATGACAGATACGAGAATACCCAAGCAAATCTTTGATTGCAAGCTCCTTGACGGATACTTGAAGGAAGACGCCGCGGATCTAGAAGAAACTAGGACAAGTATGGAGTCTACGATGAAATGAAAGAGGATGATTCCTGAATCGACAGAGATGGATGAAGATCAGAAATCTGAAGACGTAGAACGATATAGAGTCTACATTATTCTACGTCTACATTGTACTATAGGCATATAGAGGATTGACTAGAAATCTATAATTCAACAGATAAGATAGCAAGGGCAAAAGCCCTGGTCAAAGATAATACTACTTCGTAGTAGTATTGTCTTTGCCCTGGTTCATGGTACAGTTGATGAAACATGTGGGAAATCGCAATCACACTAACGCAAGACAGCAAGTGAGGACAATCAACATTGTTCTCTTCTTGAACAGAAGGTGAAGGTCTCGGATCTTCCTTAATCACAGCAGCATCAGCTTCAAGCTACTCCAAGTCAATATGTCTAAGAAACCAAGTAAGAAACCTTCTTGTAGCTGTTCGTTTTTATTTATATGAGAAGAGTAGTATAATGAAAGCTCCATACTTATGGAGCATACTCAAGAAGGGACCTTACCAGAGCACCGTAAATTATTTGTAGAGCGAGCATGACGTTTGATGAACGATGAATCCAAACATTGCCAATGATTTACCAACCATGCAAGAATTATGTTGAGTCAAGGATTCAAAATGAGTCCAAGGTCTCAACGTATATCGACTACTGAAAGAGGCTGTCCATCCAAAATGTACTGGAAGCTCCAAGAGGATCGCAATCCAGAAAACTTGATGAATTTACCCTTTGAGATATTTAGGGACATCCCAGCCTTATATACCCCTTATCAGGAAGCGAACCTGTCTTAATCTTAATGCTCCTGAAGGTCCTAATAATCCCCAAACGTATATTGATCACGCTTAAGATGTTCATGTCGTCAGCGAAAAGCGTGACACAGTCCAAGTGAGATGAGAACTTGGAACTTGAACTGTAGTAGTTCTGTTCTCACGGAAATCACAAACCAGTCAGAGCGAATTTCATTGGTTGAAAATAGTCAGAAAACTGTTGTTGGCGATTTTGCACCAATTAAAAACGCTCTGACTAGTTTTGTGATTTCTGTGAGAATAGATCTCGTGTCACCCTGGCTTAAGCCACGTTGACACGTCTACTTGGATTAAGTACCTTGGATTGCCCATCATGGGACGATAGCTGGATCGTAACTAACTGATTATCCAAGTCCAGTTGAAAAGGTTCTATCATTATAGGCTGGCTGCCAACCTTCTTGGTCTAAGTTCTCATCCAAGTCCTACCTAAGTCAGAGGTTAAAAGAAATAGCTACCCACAAAATTTCGGGTTCGTCAATTTCTTGATCTTGACAAGAACAATAGAGAATCTGGTCGCCTTATCATCCAAGACAAGAAAATAAGTATAAGTATTGAGATTATTTCAACAATTCTTGACCGAATTTTTCAAATACAAATTATTTTCAATAGAACATATCCCATCTATTATTAACATTAACTCATTAGATAGGTGCTCTTCAAGATAATTTCAAATTTCAACAAAAAATAAGATTTTAAAGGTTGGTCTTGATACCCAGCTACCTGTTCTCGAGAATAAAAAATCTATTTTTTAGGGCCGGCTTATTCCGCCTTCTCATAAACTGTCAGGTACTTATGCAATCTGACGGATTAAAACGCAATCTGTAATCCCATTGGTCGGCCTGTTATCCGCCGACCAATAGAATTAAAGAACGGTAAATTTGTCTTGCAGATAGTTACCAACAAGTTTATCTAAAAATAAGTAAACCGGGCCTTGAAGAAAAAAGTTCATCATCAACTGTTTTTTGTTTTTAACATATATTTTTTTATTTTCAGGTAAGTTTGATTACGTAGGTAATAAGGAGAACACAGAAGAAAGGAAATTGTTGGTCAAGATGGGAAAGTTTCAAGGTATGTTGGTAGGTAGGCTAGTCAAAATAGGTGGTCAGGGTAGAAAAAATTGGTAACAAAGTGATCTCTGAGGAAATCAGTAGTCAATAGGGTCTTTATTAATCCCTCAAAAAATCGCACTTTTGTCGCATTGGTGGAACTAGGAAAAAAATGGTCATCTTGATTTTTTTGGAATTTATTGAATATTTCGTAAAGTATACATTATATCAAAAAAACTCAGGAGAACTTTTTTGTGGAGAATCAAAAGTTACATATACTAAGAGAAATTTCAAGACCATTAGCTGGAAAACAAAAAGGTTATTGACATTTATTTCATTTGGCAACATGGAATTTTTCAAAACATCTGAAAAAACTCAAATAGGTATTTTTTTTTTGTGCAGAATGAAAAACTAAATTTAATGGAAGAGAAATTTAATATGAATCAATATCAATACCAGGGCTATGGATTTAAATATTTTTTTTTGAGAGGGAGCCAAAACACATTGTATAACAAGAAAAACATTTGGTCAGGAACCTACCCAGACAGCACACAAAGTCTTAAACGCGTCTTTTTTAAGATGTCCTGGCAGACAGCTGGAGCCACACTTATACAGGACCTAAAAGTAAATAATGGTGTATGTATTCAAAACAGAGCCAAAGACATCTTTTAGAAATTTCGTTGAAGACGTCTTTAAAATACCTTATATTAGTTCAAAAGGAGTCTTTATAGGCAGACGTTTGAAAGACGTTGGGTTTTATAACATACGGCGTCTTCGAGATGACTTTGAGATGCTTTGAAGATGTAAACAAGACATCTTGAATATCGTTTGGTGAACATCGTAGGAACATCTTTAAGATGTCTACAAAAAATCCCACAGAATTCGTTTTTCATTTAATTTAAAAGTTACTGGAAACCATTTAGAATGCTACAGAACACTTCAAAACTTTAATAATAATAAGCCTTTTCGAAAGTTCAAAACACTTAAAATTCAATTCAGAATTTCTAAATGCATTCTGTAGCGCTTCAGAATATCTTGCAAACTTCAGAGCCATTATTAGAATGCCTCAAAACATTCAAAAATAAAAGTTTGATACCTATTTTAGGGTGCTGCAAAACACTCCAAATACTCTAGAATCTCCAGGAACATTTTGAAAAGCGCCAGAATCACAGGATTCAGGTTAAAAGTTACCTAACGCCTTTCAGAAGGCTTTTAAGAAACAATTTAGAAACTTCAAAGTTATTTTAGAACAATTAGGATTCAATTTAGAACTGGAAACTACACTTCGCATCATAATTAACGCACCACTAAAATTTGGCACAATTTCAAATTTAATTTTCTCGGAAACTGCTGAATCGATTTGGACATATTTTTTTTTTAATTGTAGCTTAAATCTTCAGGAATGACTCTGTAAAACAACTTTTCATTTGAATCGAAGTTTTAGGCATATACAGGGTGTTTTAAAAGAAACCAGTTTGATGCCTAATTTTTGTCACATCCTGTGGGACTTTCCATCTGCACCAATAGATGTCTATCTAAATCAAAACATAGCCCCATCTTTTCTGAGCATTTTGTTTTTTTATTCACGTTTCTAGCTCTGTTATTTAATGAAATATGGAGTTTGAAGTTTAAAGCGTTTATTTGAGATTATTCAAGAAAAAGTTTCGGAAGTTAACAAAACAAAAACAAAATTATTGAAAAAATAATGTGGAAAAAAGAAGAAAGAAGAAGAAGAAGAGTTATAACCGTCAGGTAAGTAAATCTAAGTAGGCCATGGAAAACAAAGGCGCGATATTGTCATGGAAACAGAGACTACTGTCTTTATCTGTCAGTGATTTTTGAATTTATTCTGTAATTTCTCTGCATTTGGTGTTATCATTGCAAAATATGGAGCGTCAAACAAGAAATTTAACTCGAGATGAATGTGTGATGGCGACTACATTGATCTAGGAAGGAATGGGCTACCGAGCTGTAGGTAGAAGATTGGGTGTTTCTCATTCGACAATATTGCGCATATTTCGCCGTTTTGAAGAAACCAATGACCACAACAGGCGCCGTGGACAAGGAAGAACTCGGGGAACAGCGGCTATCCATGACCGATTTTTGCAACTGAATGCGTTGAGGCAACGTTTTGTGACCTCAAGACAACTAAGGGTACAATTAAATACTGCTCACAATATCAACGTTAGTGTATCAACTGTAAGGAGGCGTCTGGCAGAAAGAAATTTAAGGTTCAGAATTCCAGCAAGAGGACCAAGGTTAAATGCAGACCATATACGAGCAAGACTTCAATTTGCCAGGGAACATGTAAACTGGAATGCTGAAGATTGGGAGCATGTTCTGTTTACAGATGAGACAAGGTTTTGTCTTTACAGCAACGACCGACGAGTAAGGGTTATTCGACGACCAAATGAACGTTACTCGCAGTGTAATATTCGCCAAACCGAGTTATTCAATGGAGGGTCTGTGATGTTTTGGGGCGGAATCTCCTTAACTGCTCGTACTGACATCGTGTCTTTGCGTGGAGGACCTTTAAATAGTGCAAGGTACATCACGGAAATTTTGTCAGAGCATGTGGTCCCTTTGGCTGGGTATATTGGGGATAAATTTTTACTAATGCAAGATAACGCCAGACCACACACTGCTAGAATAGTGCGAGATTATTTGAATGAGGTGGATATTGAGACTCTGGACTGGCCTTCACGCAGTCCAGATCTCAATCCTATAGAACATTTATGGGATCAAATTGGTAGGCAGCTTAGAGATCATCAACCCCTACCTGTGTCTTTGAATGATGTAGAAAACTTTGTTCGAGAAATTTGGATTAATATCGATCAAGAACAAATAAGACGTCTGGTTCAAAGTATGGGTCGTCGATGTCAAGCGGTAATAGAGAGTAGGGGAAGAAACACACGATATGGAATGTTTTTTTTTTTTCCACATTATTTTTTCAATAATTTTATTTTTGTTTTGTTAACTTCCGAAACTTTTTCTTGAATAATCTCAAATAAACGCTTTTAACTTCAAACTCCATATTTCATTAAATAACAGAGCTAGAAACGTGAATAAAAAAACAAAATGCTCAGAAAAGATGGGGCTATGTTTTGATTTAGATAGACATCTATTGGTGCAGATGGAAAGTCCCACAGGATGTGACAAAAATTAGGCATCAAACTGGTTTCTTTTAAAACACCCTGTATATGCCTGAAACTTCGATTCAAATGAAAAGTTGTTTTACAGAGTCATTCCTGAAGATTTAAGCTACAATTAAAAAAAATATATGTCCAAATCGATTCAGCAGTTTCCGAGAAAATTAAATTTGAAATTGTGCCAAATTTTAGTGGTGCGTTAGTTTTGATGCGAAGTGTATTTAGAATGCTTTTAAACCAGCTCAGCTTCACTTTGGAACTTCAATAGGGCTCTAAAATACTTAAAAATATGTCAGAACATTTTGAAATTTAACATGGATCGAATAAAAAGGAGCGGACTTCGGAATTCCCAATTTAAAAATTACTGAAAAACTTCTAAAATGCTTCAGAACTCTTCAAGCCAAGTTAGAAAAAGGCATTTTTAATTTTTATAAGAAAAAAGTATACATTTCGCGATACTACCCAAACTAGCCAAATTTTAAAAATTTCCAGATTTTCTGATAAAATAAATTTCAATAGCTCTTTTATTTTTCAGCTAATAGTATTGAAATTTCCTTCAACATAAGTTACTTTTAATTCTCCACAAAAAAGTAAGTTCTCTTGAGTTTTTTTGATATAATGCATACTTTACGAAATATTCAATAGATTTGAAAAAAATCAAGATGGCGGCAATTTTTTTCCAAGTTCCACCAATACGATAAAGTGCGACTTTTGAGTGATTAATTAGGACCCTATTGACTACTCATTTCCGCAGAGATCACTTTGCAACTTAATCCGTTGCAGATCACAATGAGTTCACCAGCAAATCAGATCTAAACGCAGTCGTGTCATTGATGACGTGCAACGTCCAACGGATTTAGTTTCAGACAGGGGCGGAGATACAGGGGACCTCAATTGAATAAACCATAAACCAAAATTTCTATTTTTTTCTCAAAGTTGTACAGGATATTTGATTATATTTGGACCCATACTTACAGCCTTCGTATTCGTGTCGGAAGATGGAGAAACGTAGACAACTTCGACTTTTTCTAATGGAACACCCTGTATATATTATGCGATAAAATGGAAGATCTTTTCTTCCTGATTCCAAAATACAGGGTGTCCCATGAGGTTTTCCCAAATGATAACTTCGGAACGCCTCATCGTATTGTATAAATTTTTATCATTTTCTTCAAGAAAGCAGAAAGCCTCAACAAATATGGCATTGCCGATTTTGTAATTTAATTTTCTAACGAAAAATGCCATAATCTACCACGAGTTACTTTTAAGATTCGAAAGTTGACGTCACTTGACCGAAACTGAAGCGAAAGTGGTTAAATTGAATGACTTTAGCTTTGTTTTGGTTTCAAAAAAGGACGGTACTAGAACGGTTCAAAGCAATCGCACAGTTTTTCAATTTGATAGCCAAGTCATCATTTTGTTGATTGCTAAACTGTGCGATTGTTTTGAACCGTTCTAGAACCGTCCTTTTTTGAAACCAAAACAAAGCTATACATCGCAAAATATACAGGATGTTCCATTAAAAAAAAATCGAAGTTGTCTACGTTTCTCCATCTTCCGATACGATTTTTTTTTTCTGATACCATTAAAAGAAAATATAGAAAAAAACTGTCAAGTTTTGTATTTAAAATTTTTTTCTGTCTTAAATTAAATCTGTTTTTTTTTTTTTTAAGATAAAAGTCAAAATGACATTATGTTGGCAATACAATGTAAAATTGTCAATCTTTCAAATTTTTTATGTAGAAAAGGCTTGTGTTGCCAACATAGCTATAGTTAGGTACTAAATTTTTGACTTGGTGAATTATCTTTAAAAAAAAAACAGACTTTACCTAGTAAAGACTGTAGGTATCTCCCGCGCGGGAGTTAAGACTCTGTTGATGATTATCGTAACAGTAGATTATTAGGATTGATATAAAATAATTATTGACTATCATTGTTATTGATTTTGATTATAAGAATTTTTTTGTTCCCGGTTTTCCATGTGGCGCCATCTGTTAATGGCCTCGAGAACCGTCCTCCATCAATTTGCAGCTTTTTTCTGCATTGTCGTTGTCGCCATCTTGCGGCGTAGGCCAAAAACTACTGAACAAGTTCGAAATCAATCTATACAGAATTTGGTTATTTTCTTATAGGTTGGGGCTGTGGTAGAGCGCTGATGTATTTCGACGTTTTCAGGGTTCATGATCGATCAAGACAGGTGCTTTTCGGATATGTGAAACCCGTTGATGACTAATTATTTCCCTGTCTATTTTAAATAGGCCCAAATCCAATAACTGTCCAAAACAGTCTCGAGGGTTTTTCGTTCGTCCATTAGATGGCGCTCTCACAAAAGTGAGGATCTAAGGAGGCGTCCTAAAGCGATTCAGCACAGTCCTTCTCTTTTCGACTTTCGGTTATCGATTCGATTTTTTTTTAAGGTTATATGGAATGTTAATCATCTTTGCAAGCTTGTTTATTTTGTTACTAATATTGAAAACTTCTTCGAAATAAATAAAGGGTAAGTTTAATTTGAATCACAATGCCTCACACAATTATTTAAATTTGTTTTCCTTGCTCAATTTCAGTTTAAAATGAGTTTTATTAACCTCTCCAACTACCTCCAAATTGTGGATAGAGCTTGGAGATCTTGTAATGGCCAGACTCTCTCAATGTTTATATCAATTCGTCACGACCATGCCAAATACAAAAATTTCCATATCGAGAGCCCTGAAAATATTGTGGGAAAGTTTCTGGAAGCACCGTTGGACGAGCTTATAGTGTATCATCTGAAATGCCTGTATGCACTTAGCATTGAAGATTATTTAACTGCCTATCAAATACAAAGTGTTCTGGTACAAACATTTACAAAAATATTTCAAGCACAAAAGGAGGAGAATTGGTGTTTACCTTTGATGTACTCAACATGTTCTGATTTAAGACTAATTGCTCAACAAGCTGAAAAACAAAGGATTGGCGTTACAGAAAAACCTGGAGAATATTTAGAAAAAGCTGCTGAATGTTTGTTAGCTTGTTTTAGGATTTGTGCTGCTGATAATCGTACGGATGACAAAGATACTAAAAGGAGGGGTATGATGGGTTTAGTGAATCAACTATTTAAAGTATATTTCAGAATAAACAAATTACATTTGTGTAAACCGTTAATAAGAGCTATAGAGTCAAGTCCGTTCAAAGAAACATTTTCTTTAAGCCAGCAAATCACTTATAGATATTTTGTTGGCCGTAAAGCCATGTTTGATAGTGACTATAAAGCAGCTGATAAATATTTAAGTTATGCCTTTGAAAATTGTCATAGAATGTCTCAAAAAAATAAGCGATTGATTTTAATCTATTTAGTTCCTGTTAAAATGCTTCTAGGCTATATTCCCAGTAGAAAAGTCTTAGAAAAATATGATGTTTTAGAATTCTCAGATTTAGTCCATGCAGTTTGTCAAGGCAATTTGAAAAGGTTCGATGAAATCATGGAAAAACATGAAACGTTCTTTATCGACTCGGGCATTTATCTCATTGTGGATAAACTTAAAATCATTGCATATAGAAATTTATTTAAAAAAGTTTATTTGATTCTCAATACTCATCAGATACCTGTGGAATCTCTTCAAGCTTCTTTAGAATTTTTAGACCAGGATGTTGATTTAGATGAGACTCAATGTATTGTGGCTAACTTAATTAATGAAGGGAAAATTAAGGGGTACATTTCACACCAGCATAGGAAAGTTGTTGTTAGTAAACAAAATCCCTTTCCTTCATTAACCACAACTTGATTGGTCAATACTTTGTGCCTCGCTTTGTGCTGAGTATATTTTAAGTTGGTAATATCAAATTTTGATTTATTATGGAATGAGCATTTTTTGTTAATAAATTATGTACTAAGTATTAAAATGTGGAACAGATTTTTTTCTTCTCATGTACCGGGTGATTGTCTATATTAATTTTTGCACCCACAGGTATCTTACCTGTTACAAGAGATACCCAGAAATATTTATAATATTTATTTATTTATTTATTCATATACAGGATAACCCCATTAACTGTTGAATTAGACAATACATATTGGCTATAGGTACAAAAAAAATTAAATAATAATCTAGAAATGCACGTTAAGTCTAAATTTAAATATGACATAATAAACAGAGGAAAAATCAACCTAATGTCCTACCGGTATAATAGGTCTGTTTCTGCACAAATCACAAACCAGTCGGAGCGAATTTCATTGGTTGAAAACAGTCAGAAAACTAATTTCAACCAATGAAATTCACTTTGACTGGTTTGTGATTTCTGCAGAAACAGACCTATTATTCGAGAAATAATGACATTCTGTCAAAGTCAGTTAATTACGAAATAATTCCTTAGGGCCTTATGCCTATTTTTTCAAATAGGAAATAATTCCCTAGAGCGTTATGACCGAGGTTATGACTATTTTTTTTGCAGGTGTTTAGGATTAATTTATATAAAATTTTCTCATATGAAAATTAATTAAGTCAGACATTAAACATTGATGCACCACAGGTATTAAGGATATTAACGCTTACGGTCAACGTATATCCCTCGGGCCACTGACCCTCGGGAAATACCTACACCATTGACCTCAAGCGTTAATATCCTTGAAGCCTTAATAACTATAATTGATAAGCAATAATGACTGTCTAAACAGACTTGGTGATGATTTAAATATATCTAGGTATATCTAATTTATTAACAGCATTTATATATCTTTTCAAAGGACTATTATTTCCATGAGTGGTTCTATGGTAAGGAACTTTAAAGGTGCCGAGTGATTGTCTATATTTTGCACACACACCTATCTCACCTCTTTGAACAGATACCCAGAGATGTCAAATGTGAAAGTTGTAGGTGATATCAGAAAGTTATTAATGATGTTAGTTACAATACAAGGTGTGTCACAAAAGTGTGGTGATTCAAAGTTATACTTTTTTAGATGGAAAACCCTGTATATTATTGACCCATTGGATTAGCCTTTCAAACCTGATTCCAATTATACTAGGTTTTTTAGGTTTATTCCTCATAGTCCAGCCTCTGAATATCCCATTTTGAAGAAATAATATGGATTTTCTACATGAATGAAAACCTTTATATTTTGCTAGTGGCCTTTATACTTCCCCTTTCTCAATAAAAATGCAATAGGCTACTTGCATCAAATTTTTTTATTGCTGATTTCGATAGTCCATGAAAAATAAGTCAACACGTGTTTTTTCTTTTTCTTCTTAGTCAAAAATTGATGGAGATATAACTATACATGCATGTTCGCAGAATCTGTAGGAGTACAGTATAGTTACAATTCAAACTACCGTATAGTATATTCTCTGCTTTGCTTATCGTTTTAAGGTGATATTCTACTAGGCGATGCCCAGTGAGCAAGACTGTTCAGATCTTTCTTCTGAGATGATTAATATTAACCTTTTTGCCTATCTCAGACCTGAGTGGATCTTGGATGAGTTAGAATTTCTGGTACTTTTCCTGGCTTCAGTTTTTTCCATGAGGCACTTCTTCATTAATCCAGAGAATGGCTTCGGGCCTTGTAAATCTGTTGTAACCATATGTTCTATGAGAAAATCTGCTTCCTTATTGCCATCTATTCTCTGATGTCTGAGTCCAGTGTTGCTGCCATTTGATCTCTTTTTTTTAGCACTTTTGAAGATGGGCAAAATATTACTAACCTTCCAAATTTCAGGATAAATGGATGATTGGAGTGATTTATTGTATAAAATTTGCAAAGGTGACACGATGATGGAATACACATTGTTTCAATACAAAATCCTGCATACCATCAGGACCAGAAGTTAGTTTATTTGGAAGTTCAAAGATTGCATTGAAGATGTCAATCTTTGAGATCGCATAGCACTGTATGTTATTTCTTATATTATTATCATGAGTATCGGGCGTTACGTGTTGTAAATGTTGATATTTCGAGTAAACTGTTTGAAAGAATTCTTTAAATAGGTTAGTTTTGGTTAGTTATGGGTTAGTTATATCATTTATATAGTTATCTTGACCATTAGATGCTGACTGATTTCCATATGACAAAGTACTGGGCAAATTATGACATGATCTTTTGTTATTAATATAACTCCAAAAAGATTTTGGATCATCTCTGAGATTCAAATTAAAACCTCTGATATAATTTTGAAAGCACATATCAGAAAGTTTTTTGCAGTCTAAACGTAACTGAGAAAATCCTAATTAGCACTAGTTCGGTCTTTGTTTCAATAGAGTGAGCTTGCTTTTTCTGGAGTTTCAAATTACGAAGATTTTCAGAAAACCATTTGGGAAAAGAAGTTTTGTATTTTTTGAGAGGAAAAAAATTAAGCTATGCCAGTGGATAACATATCATAAAAAATACCAGCTGCTACATCCACATTAATGCTGTTGGTACCAATGCAGTCATCCCAATGATAAATAATTGTTCAGTTCCCTGGGAATCACCATTTTTGAAATCTTAGTAGAATTGTAAATTAAACAATCTGGTTCAACCTCTTTAGATACTGAAATTGTACATTCATAGCTAATATGATGCATACTCGACTTTATTTTTTTCCATGAGGTACTTCTTCATTAATCCAGAGAATTGCTTCGGGCCTTGTAAATCTGTTGTAACCATTTGTTTTATGAAAAAATTTGCTTCCTTATTGCCATCTATTCTCTGATGTCCTGAACCAGTTTCTTGATGATTTTTGTGCTTTCCCAAACTAGCTGCGATGTGTACTTGATAGCTCCTAGAGCTGCTTGACGATCTGACAGGATGGAAATGTGCTCTTTTGTGAGACCTCTCTTAAAGCACTCTTGGGCACATGCATTAATGACGAGCAGTTCAACATGAAATATTGTGCGCGTTTTTTTCATTATCAAGTGGAGTTTGGTATATTCATTTCTCCTTGAGCCATCTGTGTGAGTCATGTGTTGTCCGCTTGCAACAGTTTTGTTCTTCCAATACTGTGGGTCTTTTCCTACCACTTCAAATGGAATGCCTTAGTCCAGTGTTGCTGCCATTTGACATCCAGCCTGTTGTTTGGCGGCTGGATAGTGTCGGATTCGAGCGGAATGCCGGCCTTACCGACTAAAAACCTCCTGCATCTGCCCCCGGAACGTCCTTTCAGCATTACTTCAGGGTATATCTGATACGTCTAGTTTTGACGTTGTTGTTGTCTTGCTGCTTCTCTCCTTTTCTGCTCGTTTTCTTTTTTTTTTTTATAATCTTCCTAAGCATGTCCGTCACAGCTATGAAGTTTTCCTCCAAGGATATCATGAGTTCTCCTATGTTGCTCTTCCTTATTTCGCAGCTGCATCTCAGAGTCACCTCTATCTTATGCTTTCAAATCTGTAGCATTTGAAAATAGTATGTTCTGGAGAGTATTGGTTCTCGCAAAACCAACAGTTATCAGTTTCCTGTCTTCTAATGTTTTTAAAAGAGGTTCAAACGATTCCGTATTCTGTCATGGCCTAGTAGTGTAGTCGTCTACCTCTCCCCATTTTCTTTCTATTCAGGGTCTTATGTCACTGATGAAAAATTTTGCCCAGCCTCCATGGTTCATACATCTTGTTTGCCAGGCATTCAGCACTGTTTCTCTTGCTTTGCTTTTCACTTGTCTTCCTTCTCTATAGATTTCCTATTTCTCTTCCCTGCTGCCATTTCATCTGTTGATTTACTTTGATACTCTACTCCAGGTGTTTGGCCCCCGAGACGCATGAGAGGCGAAGAGGCCGATAGATATCCGGGCTTCAGTTTTTCTCTATGGAATAGCTTGTAGGCATCTTTTTTTTCACGCAAAGGTGAAGAGGAAGCATGTTCAGTAGTTCTAGGCTGAGGTTGGCCAGGTTGAAATAGCCCCTGTTATTTCAATTCAGATCAGCCCTTGTAGGTAATATAGTGATTTTTTTCGGAGCAGTACTTAGGTAACTTGCTCAGTTTTTGGCCACCAAACCAACGAAGCGTAGGAGATTATGTGTTAGGTACCTATTAAATATAAAGTATAAATATGTAGATATTGTTTATATTGGTGTCATCAGGTTTCGAAAATTTTCATCATTTTTGATGCAAAGCTATAAAGGTATAACCGAGATACCTATTAATGCAATTTGTTCATGTAAAATTAAAAAAAAAAAAATAAAAAAAAAAGGAATTTTTATCATGTTTAATTATTAATTTAATAAAAAAAAATGCAGTGAAACCATTACGTTTCACGGAAATTTTCTGGAAATCCCTATTAATAATATATTATCCTTGAACAAATATTTAAAACCACAACTCTTATTTAAATGGAAAACTGAATAAAATATACATTCTCTTATGCGGCCCTTCCTGTAGGTATCTTTATTGAGTTTTAAATTATAACTCTGGGTTTCAGCTATGGATTTAAAAATTTAAATTTGGATTAAAGAGTTTGCAAGTGTATATATAATGAAAGTCAGTGAAAAATTCTTTGACCTTAAGGTGACATGATAATAGATACAAAAATATCTAACATTCCTCTACGGCGAGATAGGTTTATGGTAGCGTTATTTGCATTGGGATTATAAGAAATTAAGCGGAGCTGCAAGAAGTTAACCACAACGATGAAACTTCATTTCCAATTCCATTAGCCTTATTATTAGTTTCTGCAAAATCGCTTTCGAGTCATTCAGCTAATTTAGTGCGGATCCACATCCACCTGTGAACATCTTGTTTCGTCGTTGGATAAAATGTACCTGTGTAATGGCGAAACAAACACTATTACGACACCAACAAACAACAGGAACAGGAGGAGTCCCATAAAAATTGCCTCGGTCCTCGTTTAACTTGTAGTAATAAATGCTAACTGGCAAAGTTAGCAATGGATTTTACGGGAATGCGGCCCTCTGTCTTATCTTGTCTTGTTACCTGAAAGATCTAAATTTCAAAGAA